TTGTCCTTGGATCTTGGATATCGGAAGACTCCTCCAACAAAGCCCTCAATCGAGGAGCCTCCCACTTTGGAGTTAAAGCCATTGCCTCCACATCTCAGGTATGAATTCCTTGACTCTTGTTCTACTTTACCGGTTATTCTTTCCTCTTGTTTGACTAACGTGCAGGTAGACTACACATTGCCGGTGCTACAAAAGAGGAAGAAAGCTATCGGATGGACATAGGCGGATATTCGGGGTATAAGCCCCGCCTTTTGCATGCACAAGATTATTTTGGAGGAGGATGCCAAACCCTCCGTTGAACATCAACGAAGACTAAATGAATCAATGCAAGTGGTGGTCAAAAAGGAGATCATAAAGTGGTTGGATGCCGGGGTTATTTACCCCATTTTCGATAGTTCGTGGATCTCTCCGGTGCAATGTGTCCCAAATAAAGAGGGCATGACGGTGGTCACAAATGACAAGAACGAGTTGATTCCTACAAGAACGGTAATCGGGTGGAGAGTGTGTATGGACTATCGCAAGCTCAACAAAGTCACAAAGAAGGATCATTTCCCATTTCCCACTTCCCTTCCTTGATCACATGCTTGATAGGTTGGCCGGCCGTGCTTTCTATAGTTTCCTTGATGGGTATTCCGGCTACAATCAAATTCTTATTGCTCCGGAGGATCAAGAGAAGACTACTTTCACATGTCCCTATGGTACTTTCACATTCTCGTGGATGCCATTTGGTTTATGCAATGCACCGATGAATTTTCAACGGTGTATGATGGCTACTTTTACGAACATGGTGGAGGATTTCCATGAGGTCTTCATGGATGACTTTCAGTGGTCGGGAATTCTTTTGATGATTGCTTGACAAATTTGGATAAGGTCTTGGCAAGATGTGAAGATACGAACATGGTACTCAATTGGGAGAAATGTCATTTTATGGTTGAGGAAGGCATTGTCCTTGGCCACAAAATTTCAAAGAATGGCATTGAGGTTGACCAGGGAAAAATAGAGGTGATTTCTAAACTTCCACCTCCAACATCCGTGAAGGGAGTGAGGAGTTTCTTGGTCATGCGGGGTTCTACTGGCGTTTCATAAAGGATTTTTCCAAAGAGGTGAACCCCTTGTGTAAGATTTTGGAGAAAGATGCCAAATTCCATTTCAATGAGGATTTCATGAAGGCATTTGAATTGCTCAAGTTCAAATTGACAACTACTCCTATCATCACCGCGCCGAATTGGAGCTTGCCTTTTGAGCTCATGTGCGACGCTAGTGATGTTGCAGTTGGAGCAGTTTTGGGGAAACGTATCAATAAGATATTTCATCCGGTATACTATGCTAGTAAGACCATGAATGAAGCCCAAGTCAATTACACTGTGACCGAAAAAGAGATCCTTGCTATTGTTTTTTCTATGGAGAAGTTCCGCCCGTACTTGATGGGTACAAAGGTGATTGTCCACATGGATCATGCGGCACTTCGGTACCTCTAACTGGTTGGCCTCCACCTCTAAAGACCTAACCTCCACCTCTAGCTGTCTAACCCCTACCTCTAGATGGCTGAGCGGGAGGTTAAGCAACCGATGAAGGGCCCATGGCACGAGAACCCTGCCGTTGTGAGTTGCCCAGTGCTCGAGGGCAAAATCTAGCAATGTGCCTCGGATCACCGCAAGTATAACAAGACCTCGGCTACAGTGACTGATGACCCTGTCGGCCTGAGTAACCACCCTAAAAACTCAGGATCGTAGGTGCACTAATAGGAGCTGGTGGTGCACTGTAGGCTAGCTGGTCGGAATGAGACGCATTAGGGCCGCGACCACTTGAAGCTCTATGGGATGCCTGAAGCGCTGAATGAAATGGCTTGGGAGGATGAACTCTACTAAACTTACCCCTGCCTCCAGACGAGGCACCACTGAACCCACCGAACTGGCGAGGCCTCTTATCATACCCCTACCCTCTCTCCTGTACAAGAACTATCTCAATCCTCCTAGCAACATCAGCAACCGCCTGAAAGGGAATCTCACTTCCGGTCTCCTTGGCCATATGAAGCCTGATAGGTTGAGTGAGTCCATCAATAAACCTCCTTACTCTCTCTCCCTCAATAGGGAGTAAAAGGAGAGCATGGCGCTCAAATTGCCTGCGGTAATCCTCTCTCAATGTGATAGGGAGGATGTTCTCTAGAAATAGCTGTGAGAACTGCTCCCAAGTCAGTGCAGGTGACCCAGCTGGTCTAATCAACATATAATCTCTCTACTACCTCTTGGCGGAATTCGTCATCTAAAATACAACAAAATCAACCCCATTGGTCTCAACTATAACCATGTTGCGCCACACCTCATGGCAGAGGTCAACATAATCATGTGGGTCCTCAGAAGGTGTACCATTGAAGTGAACAGGAAAGAGCTTAGTAAACTTGTCCAACCTCAATAAAGCCTCAGAAGATATGGCGGGCCTATCACCCGCCAG